CCACTCATTACATTTGATGTAACATGTTTTCCAGTAAAACCACACAATCCTCCTTGAATTGCGGTAACATTCCAGCTAAAAGGTAACAACAACTCAGCAGGTAACACAACATTTATGTATCAACCAGTCTGAGCTCATTTGTCTTCTGCAGGAACGCTGGACGTAAAAATACAAACGAGGGTGAAGAGCAGGCGGAAGAAGAGAGCAACTCTGCATTTGAGGAAGTTCAACAAGTGGGACTCAGTCTGCAAGCTGAAAATCCAAATCCAGGTGAATTGCTGCACCTTAAAAACTCTGCTTCCTGATATATTGCCATGCTGATACTTTTGTCTCTCACCAGACTCTAACGATTTATCATGGGAAAGCAGCAGCTGGGTGAGGCAACAACAAGAAGTGTCCGAGCATTTGTGTAAAGGCGGTCTGTGGCAGGACAGCATCTGTCGGAGGTTCACGCTTGATGAGAAGAACGTCCTGCTGCAGTGGAGTAACCTTCAGCCAACACGGTGGACACCACTGCGGACTGCTGACGCTCTCTCTCCTGTGCTTTGTCCAGGATACTACCACGTAACAATATTAGGTGAAGTAACCCAGTGGTGACACCCAAAACTTAAAAGCATACTTTTTGCTGTTCCTGCCACTTCAGCCTCAGTGGAATATTGTCTTATTTCCTGCATAATACTCTTTTTTTTTATGTCAGCAAACACTTTTTCTTTCTTAAATTTTCTTACTTTCTTTCTTATTAAGAGTCTCAACCAGACAAAAACCTTCGGTCTTACTCATTTACTCCTGAATAGCCAAAGCAAACAGATCTTTATTATATTACATATGCGTCATCAGTGAGTCATTGTGAGCTGGAAACTCACTGTCAGTGGAAACACAATCACACAGTCAGAGGTCTGAGCCACCTTTAGAAAAGACCAGAATGTATATGATCTTGTATTATTAGGTTTGATCTGCTTCTTTTAACATTGCTCCTGTGCCTTCTGGTCTCCTTTAGTTGTACAGTTAAACATCGCTTTTAGAATCACAGCATTGTGTAACCCCGCCTACATTGTTAGCTAGGTCTTCCTTCAGTTATGGATGAAAACCAACGTCTAGAAATGGTGTGAAAATAAAAATCTTTAATGATGAGCAGCGCTTTTTTAATATTAGAAGAATGGTGATATATATAAACCAATAAGGTAGACCTGCTAGACTTTTTCTTAACAATTAACAGTCAGGTCAGCATATGCGCAAAATAGTGTCTCTAAGCCAAAAGCTCAGGCCTCAGACTCATTTTCAAACTGTTTTTGCCTCTTTTAGCTATATTTAAAGAAAGAGATACATGTAATATATCTCAGAGACACAGCTCAGACTGTGTGAGCTCTGTGAGCACAGGAGCCTTATCCGGATGATCTGATATCCTCGTGTCGGTGATGTTCCCACATCATCATAATAAATGTTGTTCCAGGGCCAACATTGCGAGTGACCAATCACATTGTTGTGACGTCATACTTTTGCAAGCCAAGCCATTCATTCATTTATGAAATTCCAGTGTTGCAAGGACAATATGTATAATGCTTATTGTTTATTAAAGAGCATTATCCTGAAATGCAAAGAATGCAAATTGCTGGAGCGGCAGACAGAGGCGGTTTCTCGCAAGTGAAGTCGATTTTTTTTAAGGCGTTTTTTTTTCCGAAGTCGCAAAAGTATGACGTCACAACAATGTGATTGGTCACTCGCAATGTTGAACCTGGAACAACATTTATTATGATGATGTGGGAACAACACCGACACGAGGATATCAGATGATCCCACCTGCAGCCCAACCCTTTGTTTGACAAGGGAAGGCAATGACAGGAAGGTTTACCTAAAGGGAGAGGAAAGAAATCATGGTTTATACTGTGGCTCAACTGCGGGACTGAAGAAGGGGCCAATATTAAAGAAATCAGAATTTCTTTGGACTATGAATCATGCAAAGCTTACCTGGTGGTAGTAGGAGTAAAAAACAACAACATACATTTGGAAATGAATTCCCACTTAACTTTTTTTTCTGTTTTTATCTCCCTGGCAGGCATTAATAAGCAGATAGCTGTTGATGCTATGTATATTCCTGTTGTTAGCTCCAGCGAGCCACAGGCTGTGGGCCTTCCTCAGGATCCACATGGCAACACGATGCTGTCCTGCCTTTCATCTGGTTTCCTCTGTCCTCTCAGCAACACTGCCAACAACAGTGAAGAGACTCTTCCCAGGCCAGGTAGTCACTGTGGGGGAGACAACGTCCATTCAGGAAGCATTTGCCGACACATGCATCTTTTACACTTAATATTTAAAATGTGTGTTTTTTGTTTTTTTTTCCTGCAGAGGAAATCTTGGCAACTGCCAGTGAGCTTGAAGACACACATGTCGTGTGCATCCTTGACCTTTGTCACCTGGGTGGAAATAAGGTGGAAGTCATGATCAGCAAGGTGTACAGGTTGACGGAGGTTTCTCTTGACTAGAAGGTACACGAGAGCAAGCGCAGCATGTAAATATCAGCATTAATCATGTAACTTAACAGTTATTTAAAATAGAAGCAATAGAAAGAGATTCCCTGTTATATGTACATTGAATGTTAAATAATTTATAACATTTTCTTTTAATTACTTGAAGTGTATATTTTTACCATTAAAATGTTTCCACAGGGAACAACTTTGTGGTGTGAAAATGAAAATGTGCCCTTTTTTTTTTTTTTTTGCAACAAAAAACCAAAACCGAAGAAAAAAAACCCTCCTGATGGATAACATTCTAAGTAAAACTCAGAATAACATGCATATGTTTAAAAATATTTATTTTGAAATATTTCACAATATTCAGGTTGATTTATTTTTTATAAATATTTCAGTATCATTATTAATATCAAGATATTTTCGAATGTAAACTTAATTTTTAAATTTCTTTTAAAACAATGTTAACAGTATCTTTTAAAGCTTATTTTGATGGTAAATACAGAAAGAAAATGAGCCATACAAGTGACTGTGCAACACCAACTCGAACGCAAAATAAGCCTCACCTCCTCTAATAAGACACTTCATCTGTTACAAAATTACTTTAATTTTAAAATCATGTAACATACATATGTAATCTATTAGACATATAAAATAAACAACTATGTAGCCTAAAGTCTTGTTTTTTGTTTTTGCTTTTTTGCATTCTATTATACAATATATTCAATGTTAGTTTCTGCACTGAAACTGCAGAAATGGCTGAATACCAGGTTTATTTTGTTCATGTCCTGGCAAATCTCACACAGAAAACATTGACCTGACTGCCCACTCTCACACTGAGGGTGTCAGTCATTATTTTACAGATCAGAAAAAAAAAGGAAAATACAAGTTAAATGTGATTAAATTCACATACCTTCAAAAACAGTGACACTCAATGGCAACATCCAGGAGGAAGAAGAGCATTGTGAAAGGTGCAGACATCAAAAGAAAAGGTAACTACTGTTGGGGAAAGTATTAAAACTTGACTAAAAGGAACAACAGTACTGACTGAGTGGATGGATTATTTACAACTTCAACAAAGCAAAACACATGTACAAGGAAAAGGAAAAAAAAAAAAAACACAAAACATCGTCTCACATCCAGAGCAAAACCATCGCGATTGAGCACAGTGGCGTTTCAATGAACAGCAGTTCCCTCAACTACCTCTGCAAGGCAAACAAGACAACAATTTTGTATAAAGACATGGATCGAAATATTTCCTGGATTCTGTAAAATTAATAACTCAAGGAGATTTTACTACCACCGTCTGAAAGTATGGTATTGATAACTATTGATTAATGAAAGAAAACAGCTATAGTTGTCTATGGCACCTCTGTACTGCTGAGTAACACCTTTACTGTTTCTTTGCCACACTTGTAGAAGCATAGACATGAATAAATGGAGAATGAAACTTGATTTTACCCATCAGAAGTATTTTGATAATCCTGGAAAATTGCACTTTTCCCCCTTTTATTTTGGCTGAATTACTTGTGAAGTCTGCACAGTTGGAGAGCTTTTTCTGCACCCCACAATAAGGATTCATCTTCTTTATTTAATCTCTTCGTTATTGTAAATGCATGATACTACAGAGCTTCTTTGTTAGGTTAGGCTCTCGTGTTTTACCTCCTGCTTGTGAGGAGCTACCACTCTGCACCACATTCCCATGCAGACAGACTATAAAGTGTGATCACTGCAGTCGTGGTGTATAGTGGACACCCTTTAAAGATACTGCTGATATAAACGGTTAAGGGAATGTTAGGGCATTTTCATTAAAAAAATATTTCCATATAAATTACATGGTACAGCGGCTTATTATACACCTCTATATACATCTGTTCTGAAACATTTAAAACTATAAATTAACATTCTTCTCTTCAGTTTGACATTGCACATAGAAAAGTGTAAAACGGCACTGAATGGACATGCTCAAAGTATTCTGACGGATGCTTCTTGTTATCCAACGTGAACAGCACCAGTACAGTAGCTTCAGCTTCGAGGTGTGGAGACCAAGCTGTCGTATCGAGCCGCACGGGCTGCTTTAAATAAAGTGTAGCACAGTGAGAATTTCAGGAAACGCAGAGCTGTACTGGGAACGCACAGCAGTTTGTGTGAGATTGTCATTAACAAGATAAGAGATGAATTAATGTTCTTTATGGAGTTTACTTTTGCAATGTGGTTCTACCGTTAATCTGTCTACACTGACGCACTCCATTCTCCTCATTGTGAAGTCATCGTGTCACAATCTGACAACACACCATGCGGATTTGCAGCTTCAGCCGAAGGGCATGTTTACATTTAGCTTTAGATTTGAATTGATGGACACAGGACTGCAGTTGGACACGTCGCTGCAAAAGCACGATAATATAAAAGGTCAGACGTAGGCCTGCATAAAAAAGATTGGAACATCCTGCAATGGTGCCAGGACTGCTTTCCAGATCTGCAGACAGTTTCTCATGCATGAATACAGTAAAGTGAAATTGGTGGCTTTTTTTTTTAATGCAATAGAGGCTGCTGTACTTCCATGTCTGCATTTTTCAGATGCTAATAAATTGGGTCACGTGGTCACGGTTGGAGCGTACTTTGTTTTCCTTCACAGATGTTCAAAGAGACAAAAATGGAATGAAAATGTCTTATGTCTTAAATTAATTTTCCCTGTTTCGAAGATATTTAAACAGCTGTGCAGGTACAGCGTTGTCGTGTTATACCGTGATATAACAAGTGATGGTTAATAATGGCAATGGCCTTGTCACAGCAGACTAGAGAATCTCACCTGCGTGTTTTTTTTATATTTATTGTTAAAAGTGAACCATTTTTTCTTTTTTTTAAACCAATATTTACATTGAAAATTGAAGTTTATTATGTAACCGATAATAATTGTGTAATAACCATGGAACGTGCGCTTCCTAAGACCAGACCGTCATCTGGTGAAAATCCCAAAACTTTGCCACCCTGTATTCAAATCACCAAGCTTACACTCAACTTACACTGCATTGCTTTGTATTGTAAAACCACAGCTGGTCCATACAGATGAATGGAGAACTGTGTGAAACTGTCATAGGGCAAGACACAAGGACCAGTGTTGACCTTTCAATGTCTAAAGCACAAACACAAACAGACAAAACTCAATTCAAACTTATGTGTTTAAAAAAAAAAAAAAAAAAAAATTCCCGTGTAGTGTTTCAGTTATAAGTGTAATAAATAAAAATGAAATGATTTCATTAGGATTTCAGGAAATGGATAACTTGTGAATGAGACACTATCCTTACAGCCGGGGACCTTAATCTTCCAATATATATTTGTCATATATCCAATACAAATCTAGGCTTTTGTATTTAACTCTGATGCAGCAAAATAATAATCTATAACCTTATGAAAATATAACTTTGTATTCCAAATAGACCTGAGCTGGATTTTTAAAGCCATAATCAGACACAACCATCAAACTGCGCCATGGATGTACCACGGCTGAAGGCACATTATTTAAGCCACCCCCCCCACTCACTCGGTAGGTTGGTTATCAAAAGAGGACTCATCCCGCACTGCTCATCAAAAGCACCAAAAATTTGTAACTTCAAATATCTGCTGTTGTCATTCGTTTTGAGGAAGTGGTGCAATAGCTGCAACACCCCTTCTTTAGTCCCAGATTGAGGCTTTAAAAATCTAGATAGACCTTACTAAAAAACTGGAGAATTACTCTCTGAGCGTGGTCCTATAGCATGTGTGACATCTTAGTATTTACCAACCCTGATTTTTGATATGATGGTCATCTTACCACTGCATGTTTCACCGTAAAGCCCCTGTCATGTGACCTACCATGAACATACCTTGTTTTGGGGACAATATGGGAGCCAACTGAAATGTAGAGTTCTCATGCACACAAATCCCATTGTGAGATTTGTCATTTTCACTCGAGTTATGTCACCAGTGGGAGGGGTGTTGAGAATCTCACCATTAGTTAATGAAATAAACAACTATTGGGCAAAAATAAATACTCTACTTTTGAGTAGGAGGTGGTACCTAAGTGTGAACAGACACTTAAAGGAAACTTTGTTAGACAAAAATGTTCCACGTGTAAACATGTAAAAAGTTTCTTTTTAAGAGCTTTGATAAACCACTCGTCCCAGCAGTTTCACTGATGGACCCACTGAGTGCGACGTAGCCTGCAGATGAAGGCCCAGCACCTCACACTTCTTCGGGTCCCCGATGTTCAACGTCGGGTCAGTGCAATCTCTGCTTGTGGTTTCTCGCCAGTGACGTAAAAGGCCGGCTTCATCTGGAAAGGGCAGCTTCACATCTAAAGATCACAACAAGCAGTTTTCCCCACTTTTAACCAACTTGTCATCGAGTTTGACTCCCACATGACACAAAGTGCTTCCACCTTCACGGCCTCCTCACAGAGGCAGATCTCAGCACAACGGTCAAGTCCACAACGCTACCGAGTCAGCATGTTTCGATATTCTGAAACGCTGCCAGTCTGGTTTTGGGAATGTTGGTATTGCCTCTGTTGCTGTGGCGCCTGTTGCTGCTGCGCTAGTGGCTGTTGAATGTATCCCACGGTGCTTTGCTGTGGCACATTAGTGGTGTGTAAGAATGCTGGAGTAGATCCACCGTGTACGAGTCCTTGAGTCATCTGCAGACACAACAAGGAATATGAATATAGTACAATAAGCAGACAGAATACTTTTTATCAAGTTTTATTTATAGAATCTAATGTTCGACTGATGTGCAGTGCAAACAGTGTACACATGAGGGCTGTCTCTGAATATCAAAACTTGCTCTGCAGTAGGTAGAGGATTATATAAAATGGGTTTCGGTAGATAGTGGACTCTTTGTTAAGCCAAGTTGTGAGGATAGGTTTCACTGCCCAGTTGACCCTGGACCAAGGAGCTGATTGTGAGCTGACTGTGAGATATTAGAAGAACAGTGGAGAGGCACACCCCTGATGGTCATCAGTGTGACTACCTGTGACATCTTTTGGGAGTAAGAGGTCAGCAGCTATGGTTAAGAATGCCTAATGTGGTCATTTCAAACTTAAGGGGTGTCCACACTGGGAGCAATTTGCTCTTCAGGCATCACTTTGTCACTGACAGTCGGTTGCTACTGTACATTCTAGGTCCCGATTGCCTTGGTAACCCTCTAATGTATTTGGCACCCCATCACATGTCATCCTGGGCTCTCACTGGTAATTAACTCAGTCACACAGCTTGAAGTTGAGAAATGTTAAGCGGGATCCACTCGCTCGGTACTGCCTGCAGTTATTTCACCTGTTGCTGCCTGAATTCGCTGAATGACTGACTTTGCATCATCCCAGGAAGTCACATTGCTGCTGGCTGCTTCTTATATGGATGCCTTCTTTAGAGAGAGAGTGGTGATGACCTACATCACCTCAACGAGCTAATTGTGAACCGTTACTCACATGTTCATACTTGCTGACATAGACACAAACATCACATGCATCACTCTGGAAATACAACACCATCCCTCATGGTTTGTGTGGTGGGGTTTTTTTTTTGTTTGCTTGTTTTTAAAGGTATATGCCCTCATTGTAAACATTTGTTGATTTTAATGAACATTTCTTAACACAAAAAAATTATTCAGTATAATCTTAAAAACAGTAAGAATCACTCTAAAGTCACAGCACAGCTTTGGCACAAAGCTGAGGCTTTAAAACCTGTGGGAAATGCACCGTAGCTTGTTGCTGTGGTAACTCAGTATTCAGATACAGTCTAATACCCAAAAAGATCATAAATAAATAGAAAGCCTTGGTTATTTATATTAAACAGCATTATGCAGCAATCCTTGCCAAACTGCCTTTTAGTCTAAAAATCTGTGTAAGAGGCTCAGGACGACATGCTGACTCATGTTGCTGCAGCGTACCTGAAAGAACTGCTGTGGTTGCTGGAGCTGCAGGGAGTGCTGAGAGGTCTGAGGCTGCGAGTGGTAGGCTGACTGGGACTGGTGCGTGATGAAGCTGTTGTGTGGGATCATTATCGGAGACGTGAAGACCGGCGAGGGCACGAGGACGGCATTGCAGTTGACCTGTTGCATGGGGAACGAGGGGGCGAGGATCTGCTGCTCCAAGGTGTATCTGTATGTGGCGCACGATGAAGAGGTTAGACACAACATAACATAACATAGAGACGTCTGCACGGTGAGAGGACTCACATCGATGGGGAGATGCCCATGTTGCACTGGGAAGGCTGCGAGGAGACGCTGGTGGGAACCAGAGTCTGCATTGGTTGGTTGAGAAGCATTCTGCAGGAAAAGAAACATATCAGGGTTAGAGGTTGGATAACATGAAGAGGTAAACATAAAGTGAATGTTATTCCTAAAATATACCGTTTCATCATCAACTGCCATACTGACATTAACACCTGGAGTTCTGAGTACTATGAGTGTTTCTCAGGGCTCTTACCGTAGTTGTCCATCTTGGCTGAACTGGTTGTCTGGGTGTCTTTGGTTTGCATCTTGCTGAGGCCTCGTGTTGGTCTGAGAGAACATCATGGGGTTGCTGTAGAAGGGCATCGTCAGACTCGTGTTTGTCTGCACTGGCAAACTCACTGACTGAGCCTGCCCACTCTGGGAAATCCTCGGCTGGACCTACAGAAACAGAGACACTTTAGAGCAACCGTCAACTCAAACGAGGTTTCAATAAAACTACTTAAGAGGATAGCTTCCAGCTGGATGTGTTTCTGGTTTCAAGTTAGGATTTCTCTCTTGCACAGCGATGTACCTGTGTTGAAGGTGAGCTGTTTTCTCTCAGGAGCGAGTGTGGGGATGAGCTGTGAGCCCCGCAGACTGGTTTAGGGTGGCCCGACAGCTGTCTGATGACCCCAGACTGACTCTGCTGGGCAGGCCTTCCGGGGCCCTGCTGTTGCTGCTGAGGCTGCTGCTGGGCCTGACTAAAGTCATTGTTGATAGGCTGCTGTAACAACATCTAACACACACAGAAATAGTCAAATTGAATTAATTCTTTCTAAAAAGAGACAACTTACTGACTTCCATAACCTCTAACCTCGCCCCATGACGGGTGGAATACACCTCAGCACCCACATGATTGATGGATGGATGTACTGGAAAATTACTTCTTGTTTATTTGTATGTCAGCAGGATTACACAAGAGAAGTAAAAGAATCTGAATTTCACAAAACTTGGTCGAGAGATAGCAAACTGTGGCGCAGGCTAAATCACTTGTCTCTAACTGCAAGACAGGGCATTGTCAGGATGCTGTAATACTGATACGTATAGGGGGATCGTTTAAGGTTCAATTCAGATTAGTTACATGTTGATGTGTGGCATGTTTATGCTTCAAATTACAGCTCATCTCATGTTGGTAAGTACAAAACAAAGAGACAATCACTGGAGTCAGTCTTTCATGTTGGCCTCTAGGTGGAGCCTTTTATCCATTACTGGCTATTATAGGTAATGTAGGCTGACTTTTCTCAACAGCTGATCTGTACGTAATGAGCATTTATTCTGAAGTTGAGGCTGCCCATTTTGCCAATACAGAACAAAAACACTCCACCTGTGTCGTGTTAAGATCTCAAGATTAACTCGCGGCTGAATAAACAATAGCTGCAGTCTCTTCATTTGAAAGTGTGGGAACACTACCTGTAGGTTAGCAAGATGAAGCTTCTCCTTAATGTCGTGCAGCTCCTGCTGTTGTGTCTTAATGTCAGCTTGCAGAATGCGCGTCCTCTCTTCCAGCTGTTCCTTCAGCTGGTTCATGACACCGAGCTGCGGCTGCTGCAGCTGATACATGGAGGACTGCTGCTGTTGCTGCTGCTGCTGTGGTTGCTGTTGCTGGATAGAGAGAGCAGGTGAAAGGGACGTAAGAACACTTTTGTGCTTTTTCAGGGAAATGGACAAATGTGGCTATAATCAAGTAGCGTGAGTCATGTAATGGTTTATTCCTGTTACGGAGGAAAGTACACCAATCTTCCAATCTTTTGTGCAATATTGATTCTACAGTTCAAATGTAACACGGATGAATGATTTCTGGGAGAAATACACAATAACTCTTCTTTTTTTTCTTTTTTTTTTATTAAACCGTGCACAACCAGCAGGTGAAATAAACACATCCAGCAGTAACAGTAAGACACTGTACACAAACAGAAAGGCAGAAGGCAACAGGCTGGAGAGGAAGTCTTAACACTAACCATTGCGGAGTGCTTGCTGCAGGTAGGAGAAAGGGGGACGCTCATTGGGGAAACAAGGTCAAAGGAATTTTGTCTTTGTGCCAAATTCTACAGGGGAAAAAAATGGGAAAAGTCGTTTTATGTAACACAATTTAGGAGACATTAATGTGTTATCTGTGCACGCTTGTTTCTCGAAAACCATTTTTATCTCCAAAGACAAAGAGATACATGTAAACGTTGTGTAAACTGACCTTTGAACTGCTTGGCTGGAATCTGGCAGATGTTTTTTCAGGCCCAATGGAAGCAGACTGCCACGATGGTGTGCAGGCTTCTGTGTAAGAGTTTGCTGCTGCAGGGCAGAGACAGGTCACCTCTAAATTCATAATCATGTGAATTAATGTGAACACTTGTAACTGCGACAACTGAGTGAATTACCTTCTTGCGTTTATACTCATTTCACGAGTGGGATAATCGTTGTGTCAGTAACACATTTACAGGTATTAGGCTTCATCTGCAGACGCTCAGTAATTTTTTTTTTTGGCGTGAAATAATAAATCCTGACCTGCCCTGCAAAGTTATTTAGAACAGTTCTACAAGGAAATTGGTGCCCAAAGAATTGCTTATGACTTTAGGATAAAAATAAAGCCTGTGTCAACATTCGAGGTTAAAAAAAAAGAAAGAAAAAAAAAGAAGCTAATTTTAATGTCTAATTTCTGCAGCACAGTTAAGCCTTCATACAACATTTTCCACACTGTAGCCACACTCCCACAAGACCTATCAACAGACTTTGATTTCTAAAATAAGTTCCCCAAACAAAAATGGCCTTTATGCATTTTTTCCCTAAACAGAGAAACTATAGCCTCTCTGAGAGAAAGCCAAAACTTCTTTGTATAGCAAACTGCTGATTTGGATTCTGTGATTACTCTCATTCTACCACAAATGGTTTTTCATTGTAGCAAAGTTTAATATACGTGTGGGCTAAGGAAAGACTGGCACACTGTTTTACTTTGCAAAAACTACAACTTTAATGAAGCTGCCACTGGTGCATTCTTCATAAATATGCAGATGGAAATGTTTTAGCATACTAGGCAGTGGGTGGAAGCGCAGCAAGTCGTTGAGAATGGGGGCTCAAACAAATAGGGCAGGCTAAAGTAAGCCTTGGAAACCTTTCACAAATGCATCATCACCCACATACACCGAGGTGGGTGTAGTGACAAAGTCTGGAGTTTTATTAGTGATCACAAAGATTACATAAAAAATAAGGATTGAGTGTGGGACTCTTCTGGAAACTAAAAATTGATCTTCCATTTCCATTGCTAATGAAAATGTCAAACCCAGGGACAGAGGGTTATCACTAGACTCGCATTATTTTGCTGCCTACAATCCCCCAATAACAGATCTTCCACCCATACACAGGAGCAGGATTTCTGTAAATAATGACCTACTGTTGAGTGAGTTAGCACTTTGGGGAGCAGAGGATGACTCACATGCAGAGTCTGACAGCGCTGTGTGGGAGGACTTCCGGGAGCTGTGGGAGGACACCGAACGTGCACCGCTGTTTCTGTCCCGTGGAGCGTCCAGTGTGGAGCAGATGTCCAGGTAGAGCTCTTGAGCCTGGAACACAGAGTAATGTTCAACATGGTGGGCCAAGTTTGAAGCTGACCTTGTAAATGTCACACGCTGTGCAGTATGTGTCCGAGTTACCTTCACAGAGGATGGGGCTATCTCAGGTGGCGACAGATCTTCAAGGCCAAACGCTCTCCTTCTTTCAGCTCGCACTTCAGCATAGCTGAAGGACAACAGAAAATGCAGTATTAAGGGAGGCTAGATCGATAAACCCCTTACCCAAAGAGAGAGGAAATGTGTACACACACACACAGAAAGAAGAAACCAGGCTTACCTGACAACAGTGTGAGTGCAGACAATGAACTCAGGTTTGGAGTTCCACTGGTGGTAAGTAATGTAGTAGTGAGTCTGCAACCAAATCCACTGCTGACCTTTGGTCAGGAATCGATAATAGCAGGATTTACCTTTTCCAAACTGCATTACTAAGGAGAGAAGAAAGAAAGTCCACATGAGTGCTTTGACATTTCTGTCAATTTTTACATTTGCCCTTGATACAGTGATCATGGAGACTGGTAGGAAAAAAAGCAACAGAAAAGTAGCTTACATTGCTTGTGACATTGGGCTATGAGCTCTAAGTCATCCACATGATAGTAATCGTAGCCAGAAGTTCCAAGAACCTCGAAGGGTAAATAGCCTATGATTGGCGAGGCTCTGAAACACACACACGCACACAGGGCAATAAACATGCAAGAAATACTTTTTCTAAGTATAGACTGGTAGCTGTCAGGATAATACAAATATTTTACCTGTGATCTAAAAACAGAAACTTCCATTCAAGGCTGTGTCTGGAGGTGAATTCATCACAGGGATCTTCCACGTTACACAAGTCCTAAACAAAAACAAAAAGACTGAGGAAGGTCCCCGCTAATATTTCACAGGGAAGCAAGGCATGATCGTGTTTTATGTACAGTATGTCCTGTATATGGTCATAGTTTTTAATATCAGAGTTGGTACAGTGCATGATGAAACTTAACACAAAAAGATCATTACACATCAAGAATATGCTTAGAGGGACCAAGCAGCAACAGCCACCGAGCATGTGCAAAAAGCTGCAGTTCCTCAAATGGCCACTTGAGGCTGGCAACAAAAGCGAGTCAGTCCCTTTAGATTCCAATGTTAGAGAAGAGGAGGTACAGAAAAGTGTTTGTCTCTGGCTAATTTGTCCATAATAACTGTAAAGAGGATGATTTCTTTTTTATTACTCTATAATTTTTATATTAAAGGTTTAATGTTGTGTGTCATCATGGTAACTAGGATACTAGCAGTCTCTGAGGTGTCGCATCAGCTAATTTACGTTTGTTGTGCGCATTTTGGAACATGTTAATAAAATTATCTGACAAACAGTATGGCTTCTTGCCAAACAGTCTGTGCTCCAGCTCTGCCGAATGAAAGTCAAGTGTTTTACTAGCATGTTACTTACTAACAAACAGGCGTCTGTATTTGTGCAATACACCCATGTACACGATGGATGCTTTTTCCAAACAAGGATTACTAGCAAACAACGTGGCAACAGCCATAATGCTAGTCCACAAACCAAAGACACAGTTGCTGTGTCTATCGTTTTACATATTGCCCGGGATAATGCCAACGTTTTTATTGACACTTGTGTGTCACTGTTAAAATGCTGTGCCCTTGAACCTCTCTTGAAAATGAGAACAATGCTCCTTTGAAAAGAACTGGGGAATTTTGTATTCTCTACATTTGAAAAACTGATGCCTACTTTTTACAAAGGATTCATCTTGAGACTGAGAAAAGGAAAAAAATCTTTCCATGTCATTCGTCCCAGTAGATATTGTTCCAGTCTGACCAATCAGTGTAATCAGTGTGTTTTCCAGTTTGGAATAACTAGTCGGCAGAGCTGAAGTCTGTGCAATAGATCAGGCGGGGGGGGTTCTAAGCTTTTTGGCTTTTAATAGCAACTGACCATCCTGTACATGTAAACTGCACTCTCACTTCTTTTACATATTGGGATTTAATTAATCTTCAACAAACCATCGCTGGAAACGTGCCATTTTATAAATTTCCTTTGGGATGCTTGGAAAGGGTATAACATCTGAGCTGATCTCACAAAAATTTACAAGAGTGCGACTTTAATTCCCTTCTGTAACTTGACAAGTGGCCAGATTTCAACTCAAAGGGCCCTTTAGGGATCACAGCGTATCCTCATGATGTAACAAGTTGGCAAGTACACAGTGTGCCACACTGAACCTATTTGTCGCGAGAAGTTTTCCAGAGTGTGTGCGCCACGATGGAATCAGTGTATGCCGAAGTGTGTCACCTCTCAGACCTCATTGTGCCACTGATCCAAGCTCACTATTGCTGCATGGACCGAAACTGCTTTTAGTGCCACATTTTAGCCCTCGAGTGATTTAGTGACAGCACACACAGCGACACAAGCAGAGAAACAAAGCGACAGAAGCGCCATCAGGCTGCTGCCTTTTTCACATGATGATGCCACAGCAGGTAGCGCCACATATTTGATTTTCTAACGCAACCCGCGTGAGATTTGCACCCTCCACCCCCTGGGTCTTTTGCTTGTTAGGCAAATGTGTAAAGTGTTACTCTGTGGAGTCACAAGCAGAGAAACAAAGGAACAAGATTTAACATTCAAGCTGGTTTTACCTTCAGAAACTGCGGAGTGACTAATCGCACGGTAGCAATGAGGCAGACCTGCTCCTCCAGAGACGACTGCAGACTCCTTGGTAACGTCAACTCGAGCCCATTACAAGACGACGTAGGCACTGTGTGACCAAGAACATGTACATATGTATGTGTATTTCTGTTTTGTTTTTTCTAAATGTATTTGTTTTAAAAAGAAAACAAATCCTTACCATGGTTGTGAAACTTAAAATCTCCAACAAACTTGACATACTCGTATACAGGTGGCTCTTTTGGGTTCATGTTACCTCTAGCTAGATGACAGCAAAATTCAATGTGTGCCTCACCTAAAAAGCAGATATTGTCATGGTTACACCCTGAACATAATGAAGTTTATCATTATAAAAGCTGAGGTGCTTCTCAATGGTATTTTTGACACAGAAAAACCAAAGAGTCAAAATGCTGACAGGCACCAATAGAAGAGGTTGCTTTGTTTCCTGTACTAGGACAGTGTAAAATAAACTTACCTTTGCATAGCAAGGTAATAAAATGTAATCCTTTTTACTGGTAAAAAACAAATGATGGATGTGCTCAAAGGATGTTGTTTTATCTGCAGACTTGGCTTTGTGACAGTTTGCTATTTAGGTCTCTAAAGATAGGCCGAGACTCTTGCGACTCGCCCTCTCTCTTCCCCAGAAAAGTCCAATAGTAAGACAGGATTAAGGTCAGGTTCTTGAGCCTCCCATACTACATTGCTTTGGATTACTGTGCTAACATAACAGTGATTTAAAGTCTTAACTATGATACTAAGCTAGCTCCTATTATTAGCTAAAAGTCTAATCATAGATACACACTAATCAGCAATCCAATAACCTGCAGACCGTAATTCAACTAGCTTCTGTATCTCAGTTTCAGTCCAAACAGTCTTTGTGACAAAAATTCTACAAGACAGAAAACAACAGTCAAATGTTGTTTTTGTACTTCAAACAAAGAAAGAAGCTTCTTGAGCCAACATAACTTTTTGAGCTGATTTTTAGTGGAGAATTACACCAGCGGCAACTGTTCTGTCCACAGCATTTTGATCTCCCAAAGTGGGAGACAGTCTACAGGCTTTAACCTTTCTACTTCCGCTGTGTTTCAACACGATGACCCAGACACAGTGTGTGCAGAGAGCCCGCTCAGCGGGATACTCACTGTCAAGGAAGTCAGCAGCAATGGGGTCAGTCATCAGCATGTGGGATGATAGCAGCTTATACACCTCCCCGTGCTCCCGCTCCGGGAGGAAATTCAAGATATTTTGGTCCACCATATCTGACTGGTGCAAAAAAGACAGATGAATGGCAGTCAGTCTTCCTGGCACCATTTCAACAAGTGATATCTTACACAACAGTCTTAATGGGAGTCACAACGGCAATCTGCTTCAGATAAAGCAGCAAAACAGAGCTTTTTTCTGTCTAACTTCACTGTTATGGCAACAAAAATAAAACGAGGACCAGATATGGTGAAGTGAAATCTAATGTTGTCTAAATCACTGCTATGCTTAAGTGACAATACAGAGCTTTGATGGTTGCATGAATTTGAGGCCCTCTTACTTACCGGTAAATGGCCAATAAGTGAGGAAACACTGTCAGACACGTATATGATGTTACCATCTGTAGTTAATGCAACCAAGAAACCATCTAGGGCCTGCAAGAGGGAGGAAGTTACCACAATTATATTACTGTATTACAGCATGTTGAAAAATTGCACAATAATTGCACAATGTCTCATCGGGTCTTAATTAATCTATCAGCACATTATGCTGACGTGTTAACGTGCTGATATTTACTCTGCTTTCGCATATTGCCTAAAGAGACCTCACGTCTTCACTGCTGATTTTATAGCAAACTATGAATACATGCACTTAAAATAAAAATCATCATTTTAGAGAGGATGTAGCTTTGCCTTTGTGTTTATTAATATTACCTAATGGCAGAGTTAAATAACAGCTACTCTTCAAAGACATCCTCCTGAAGTTTACCTCCAGCATTAGCTGAGTGAACTCCTCATTACTGAGAAACGAAGGCTTCCAGTCCTGCCTCACATCGCAGGTGTCGTTCTGTGCAGTGATGTCTGGAAAAGAGAAAATGTTAGAAATATGTCTATTAAATTAACAAAACTAAATAGAAAGACTATAGAAATAGAAAGACTACATAAAAGCCCGTACCTTTCTGTTTCTGCAAAAAGTCGATGGTCCTCTGCAATATGGTGGACTTGTCCATCTTGCGCGGATGGCCCTGACCCTGCAGCATGGTGCACAGCTCTTTGATGAGCACATTGAATTGGTCTCTTCTTTTCTTTTCTGATTTGTTACGGGATGCCCTATAACAGAGCGGTTATTGCAAGTGAAAATTAAGTGACTTTAGTTCAGCTATCCTGTTTACACGGAAGATAGTTTGGAATAAGGAAAAAAGAAAACAAGCAGAACAAGAAAGGTAAATGTAACAGCGGCACGGTGCTGAAAATGTAAGCAGAGCCTGAATATATTCAAATCTGTGGGTACTTTGTTATAAAAATAGGGCATGAAAACAATTAATTAAACATAGATGTAATCATATAGAATTTACATTTTTAAAAAGAGAAGGCTGGTTATTCTACCAACGGTTGAGTTTGATATCTTATGACACCGTGTCCTAGAGTGTCCATAGGAATTTTTCAGATAAGAAGTAATATGTGAATCTGGAGTCAAACCTTTGTGAACTAAGAACTCAGTCGCTTTTAGACACCAGTATTTGTAAGTGTTTAAAATACAAAATGAGCCAAAAGAGGCCCAGATTAACCGTAATGTCACGGAAAATGAAATGAATTTCTTCATTTATTATGTCCAGTCCAGTTTCTTTTAAAGTGATGACCTACCACCAATAATCTGTTTTCCATTGCCATTCCCATTTATGTAAATAGTAATAAATGTGTGATACTATACATGAAGTGTTTGCCCAGTATGCACAGACGTCAGTACCTTTTTGCCCTGTCCTTCTCATCTTCATCCATTAAATCGTCCATGCAGCTATTGGTGCTTGAAAAAGAAGGATACGTGTTAGGAAGAAGTTCCTTTGACGTCATCAAACACGTGTCAGTGATATAATGATATAATGAGTTCAGGACATATTTTTGTCTTTTGCACAATGTAACAAACAGTTTTCACAGCAAGACTTTTGAGCTGTCCTAGTATGAGAGCAGTTTTCACTAACAACCTCAACAATGGCTCAATCATCCAGGATTCACAAGTAAAGCAGAGAAAAGGAATGTAGCCATTGTTTATTTTGTCTTGTGGTCCTGCACTACCCTCTGTGAGATGGTAAAATATGTTGTAATTTAAAAAAAAAAAGCCAATTTAAGTGTCAATCTCAAGAAATTATCAGAGACAATGTGTGGACCAACCACTACTAATGCTGTGATTATGTTAGAGGTAACCGCATTTGAAGCCTCTGGTCTTCCCCCATGTTTAACAGGTCACTGTGGCTTGTAAGTGACCTACTCCATATTTGCATTATTGCTTTATACTCAGAAGCTCACATGGCTGGATGTCTAAAGGCAGACAAGTCACGAGTCACTTCCATATCTTTTTTCTTACGAATTACTCCTGGTCGTAACAGGATATTTACTACCTGAGAACACAGCAGCAGGAGTTTATTTTTATCGCGTGTAACTGATTGATCAGCAGCAACAGAGATAATCAGTCATAAAAAAATTTGTTAAATGTAATCAACCTTGTCAGTGCATGACTTTGACCCGGGTATGGCCAGTATCAATTTTTCAGAGCAGATTTTGTTTTGTTTTTAAACTAACTTATTTTGAAATTCAATCTTTCTCACTTTTTCCTGACTGTGACCCAATAAGTGAGGCTGTAAGAAAGCTTTTGTGAGCCAACAGTGAATTATGCGTGAACTGACATTAAAATACAACTTTGCCCGAAGAGCATTTTTCTCTTACAGACTGAAATAAGAATGTTTTTACATGATTACACTGACTATGACAGTATCATGTGATAGGCTGTAACTTGGGCGTTATCTTTAAAATGTCAAAAGAAGTGACCGGCTTGTACATCATAGACACAGCAGGTATTACAAAAAGAAAAAACTACTACAGAGGAACATTGAACGTTATGAGTGCACAACTCTGCGTGAGGGTAACTTATTATTCCTGTGGTTTTGGATCATTATTAATAGTCCCACAGTGATTCATAAAATGCTTCATTACTCTTGATGGATGTAAGTGCTTTGATCACATTTGTATAAAAGGGTTTTTTTGCTTTGCATTGCAGATGATGTCCTAAGAGAACTGCCTGAATATTGAACAGCGCGCTCCTCACACAACTCAAATTGAGGGTCATTCAAGATAAATATGTTCTTCATTGTTAAAATACAACATTTACTACATGTTTGTTATGCAGTTTATCTTTATACATTTCTCAAATGTGTTGTAGTTTTGTGCACGTATGCTCACAATGAAAGACGATGAAAAACTTTGCTAAATGCTAATGTCTAAAAAGATATACCAGATTTCTTTAAACTATTACATGAAAACTTTCACAACTATTTGAATGGTATATTGTGTTTACCACTACAGTGATGGTTATGAAGCATGAGCTAAATAAAGCACTTTATTTCATACTCACTCCCATTCCCTGCGGCCAGACGGACAGGGGCCTCCGAAATCAGAAAGGTTGTCCATACTCACTCCTTCTGCCAACCAGGCCCTTCCTGAAGTCTTTTAAGTCCCATTCGCGCCGTCCTTGTCTGAACGCTCTTTTAGAAAAACTTAGCACGGTCCCGTTGTCCACCACCTCCTCAGTTCAATTAACGAAAAGCCAAATCCTGTGAAAACAGACAAAACTCCTGAGCAAAAACTGCAGGGCACGCATTAACTCAACGACACACCTGTTCAGCTGCTCGACAACCTGCTAAAGTTTAACCCGAGCATCAGAATGAAGAAAAAAGGCGATTTAACTGACTTTGAACATAGCATGCTTGTTAGTGCCAGACGGGCTGGTCTGAGTATTTCAGAAACTGCTGATCTACTGGGATTTTCCCCACACAGCCATCTGTAGGGTTTATGGGGAAAAAACACAAGAGGTTCAAATAGTGAGCAACAGTTCTCTGAGCAAAAACGCCTTGTTGAAGTCAAAGGTCAGAGGAGAAAGGACAGACTGCTTGGAGCTGATAGGAAGGCAACAGTAACTTAGATAACTACTTGTTACAACAAAGACAAGCAGAAGAACATCTCTAAACACAAATCAAATTGAACCTTGAAGTAGATGGGCGACAGCAGCAGAAGACCACATTGGGCACCGCTCGTGTCAGCTAAGAACAGGAAACTGAGGGTACCATCCACACAGACTCACTGAAACTCAACAGTGGAACACTGGAACAACGTCCCATCTGATGAGTCTTGATTTCTCTACAACATTTGGATAGCAAGCTCAGAAGTTGGTGTAAACAACATGAAAGCATGGATCCATCCTGTTCAGTGTGCATATGATCTGTTGACAAAAGGGGGTCAAAACTAGCAAGGTCTACCCAGTGAGTGAGTGTAGACTGACTGCTTGTTCTCAGGACATTTCTGCAATTAAATCCATAATAACTGAGCCTTTAAAGTCCTGGATACAAAGCAAACATGCTATCACTGTCACCACAAGATTTTCCATTAGAACACTGTGTTCAAATATTTCAAACGAACGTTCTCCCAAGTCACTTTTTTAAATGCATCAAGAAAATATGACATTTGTTGCGAGCTTGACCACTAACAGACCACTAGCTTTTTTTAAGAGCGGACAGTGGAGACAAGACAGGAAAGATAGGAGAAAGACCAGGACGGCACACAGTAAATGGCCTAATCACAGATTTGAAACTGGGCCTCTGCAACCAATAGGAAGCCTTCTCACAGCACATGGTTTGCCTGCTGAATCCGTTGAGCCACTCAGGCGCCCCATTAGCTTGCCGTTTTAACAAATCAATCAGTCGCACCAATGTTAATACCGTGAAAGTTAGCATTTTCTGTAGGACTTGCATTCAAAAATGCTGTTTTTACTGTGAGGACGTAATGTGTGCTGCTGAAAGACATTAATAACACAGCATGAAACAAATTAGCTATTTTCACCTGGCTAGAGTACTTCATCACCTAAGAAGTGTTTTTGCTTAGAATGAGCTCCTCTGACCTAGAAAAATGTCTGAAGCAGACACTTCTTATGATAACCTGGCCTGAAAAAACAGAGCGCACAGCAGCCACCTTCTTCACACATCCTTTGTATGCGGCAATCTTAAAGAACATGGAGCTTCTTTTATAGACCAAACTAAGAACTCACTCAGACGAGCTTTGGACAGCTCCAGTTAAACAGCATGAGACTGTTTTCACTTACAGACCAATTAATAACACGTCTCCATATAATCTATACATGAAAACATATGTTTTCCCCTAATTGTGGCTGACAGAATACCGTGCATCTTCTTAGAAAGCCAGAAATTAAGAGCAATTATTATATTCCAGACACTTTCCAGTAGGAAAGCAACGCTCATGCTTTCATTTAACCTTGATTAAAATTGTCCGCGGTTTCATGGTCTGGAAATGAATTCAACTCTGAATCAGTTATATTCAAATTATAATTATAGTTACTGGTCCTTCTTAATGCAGGCAGTCGTCTGTGTTTGTCTTACTCCAAATGTAGCCTACACTGAGTGGCCTCAGGCAAAATTACTAGATATTGCTGCTTCCATTATTTTGCATCTAAACGAGACCCAGAGGGACAAGAGAATCACTGTGACTGGAGATATCTGAGTGATGTGTTGCAGTCTTTAACAGCTCACTGCTAAAAAGAATAAAAGTCTCTGGCCTAAGCAAAAGAAAAACTGCATTTTAGCTCACACCCTTTCCTTCTTCATAAAAGGAATCATTTTCTATCTTGGGTTTCCAGACTCTTGTTCCTATAGAGCATATAGGAACACACAATTGTTTGAAGCTGGTGTTTAAGCACCACTTCAGCCTGAGGTAATTGAGCCAGTAACCACTTGCACGCCAGCACTGTTGTAGAAATGTAATTATGTGCATTCCTTAACGGGGAATATATGAAAAGATGATGGGCTAACTTCTGGAGAGGAAATCCATGGATTAATCTCATTCTCAACCTCCTTCATATGCTAAAGTATACATTTCCCCACTGGCATGTTTGATATCGTAATTTACCTCAGACCATTTTATTCAGTTATTCTCTATCATTTATCCTGAAATTCATGCTCTTATATGCATTTAAATCTGATTTAAAGGGACAGTATGCTGCCCACCTTTGGAGATATCAGCCTGGAAATGTGTTCCTCCTCTTGAATATAAGGGAACTAAAAGATGTTTCTCTGCTCTGTGCACCGGTAAATATTGAAACAATTTTCTCTATTAATAAATAACACCTCCCAACTGTATCACTGCAGTGATAAGAGGCTTAAGTTAATGGTAGCGTGGCATGACGAAAACACCTGAACTGTGATGTCAGCAGGCCCCGTGCAACATTTTTATTTATTGATCTTTATAAATGCCAGTACTGGTATGTTTTGAAATACGTAATATCAGCCAATATATCGACATGGCCAATAAATAGGTCGGGGTCTAATCTAAAACAAAGCAAAGGAAAATTATGTGAACTTTCAACTTTGCACGTATAATATTTGGAGACTATGCACACAGCTGATATTTCAAAGGTGACCATTGTTAAACTAAAAGCATATCACTTATGCTTAGTTTTCACGCCAATCCATATTTTTAAAGATCCAAATGCTACATTTTGCGTTAAATTCAAGCTCTGGTGTTTAACATTTTGCTATGCTATCCTTGTCTGTGTTTTACTGCAGAAACTGCCCTCAGCTTACTGCAACTGCTCCGCAATAAAATCCTTCCAGTCCAAAAAGATTCCAAAACACAGAGCAGCAGGCAAAAATCAAACACTCACCCATAATTTATATTTCTAGTTTGCTTCTTTCCCCATACTTCATGGGCATATATGTAGTCTATTTGTAGCTTATATGAAGCCATTTGTAGGGCGTCAAATGGGTCAGAGTGAGCTAATAAGGTAAGGAACTCAAATGAGAGGCACAAAGCAAGACGATATTGCTGAAAGTCTTTCACTGCAAAGCAGTAATTCAAGCAACTTTAATGTCATTACTTGTACATTGTTGTGGAAAAGGTTCCCATGTTAACAAGGTGACATTATGCCTTAGGTCACTACAAATTTGTGACGTCTTAGCATTAGCTTGTAGCTACGGATGTCCTCTTTATGACACACAAACTTCCATTCCACTTTCAGGTTTCCATAGCTTGGTAAAGATTTGCACACAAAGGTAAAGACTCAGAATGAAACTCGCAAGTGTTACTGAAAAATCAAGCTCTTATTTAATTGGGCCAGATTGATGAGAAATGCCTTGCAAAAAAACTAAATGAAACAAAACAAAAAAACATTAGCTACCGCAGAGGGGAAATGCCAATGTTTAATCAGAAACACAATTTCTGCATTTACTGCCCTACTTACTGCCAAACTACTCTTTAGACTGTTTATGCTTTTACTGCATAGACACAGACGAAAAAGATCTTCCTGAATTGTTGACAAAACAAAAAAGCTGAAGTTTGTATAGCAAGCAACAGAAATTACCACTCATAAACTGATCTACTGTGTAAATGTCCTTTTTTTTCTTCGCAAGATTAAAGAGAAACACTGCATTAAGAATCACCTCATGCAGCTTTAAATGTATCTTTTCTCTGCACAGCTAAAATAAACCTCACATATCCATCTGCATTCTAGTACTGAGGTTAAACCACACCTCGCAAGGTCAACAGCTAAAAAACATCCGAGTCTCGTTACACTCGTGCCTTCGGGTATTTAAAACCCTTTACATTGAAACCTGAGCTCACTTCGCAGGGTGGTACACTGAAGTTCAAGTTCATGATGAACACTGTATGTAAACAGGCTGTAAAAGAGGCAGAGCCAATGACAATGGCCATGAAATAGTTCATTTTCTTTGTGAATTCTTAGCATTTAGACTTTGTATTGCAGTTTAAAAGAACTCTCCACCTTCAACTATAGCTTGTTATTAGGTTTAATATGCTCCATCTGTGCATTTAATTTAAACTTAATAACTATTATCACTTTGAGATTAAAATAATTTACATCCACATTTGAAACATTTACAACCCTTATTTTCATTTCAGATGTGAGTCGGTGAAGCTCACTAATGGCTTTAATGAGTAAAAAAGCATGCTGGTGTCATGCTGTTTGCTGAGAGCTGAGGACCTAAAGTACTCCTCTACTGCAGTGAATGACATCTAAAAAGCTCTCGTGTCCTCTCCACTTTTGCTTTTTCACCTTTTGGTGGGTATTTGTGATGATGTTTAAAACACTCAGGTAATGAGCTGCAAACACATTCAGGCAGGATGAGTTTTATTTTTTTCATTTTGTAGTTTTAAAACGTATGAGATGCTAAGGAACTGTCATATTATCTGTAGATCTTTTTAATGATGGATTACCCTCATGCAAAAGCAGCAGCAAACTGGTTGTTTTTGATAGCAAACTTTAATACTGGCTTGCAGAGGCATGGGCGCGTGATGAGAAGAGAGATGCTGACAGTAGATATTTCTCTGTCAACAAAAAAAAATACCTGTTTGACACAGCGCTAGCGATACGGGCAGCGAGCATGTGAGCTTTAAAGTTTTTCTGTCATGTGATGTAGAATAGATTTAATTAACATTTTCCTATATTGATGGCATGCACATACTGCTAGTGTGTCATTGTCAAAGTACAGCTTGGTGAAATGTTATTTTCTAAAATCACAAGTATATAGGAGCAAAACTCAGTATTTAATTTGTAAGCCAAAAGACCAGATAATGTGATAAACTGTATTTAACTGATCAAGAGCTATAATTTTTCTACTTATACTTTATTTCACAACTTACAAATCAGAATTAAGACCTGCAAAGTTAGCCTGCATTTGAACAGATCTAATAAATAAACACTTAAACTACAAATTTTGAGTTACAATCAAGAAATTAGATTGTAACGTTAACAGTGGGGCAGCTCTCTCTCTTTAACGTCTCTGAGCACAGAGTAAGACTGGGAGTACTTTGAGATTTGAACTAAATCTCCAAAAATTGCATTTGTTGAATTTGGTTAACAAATCTGATGTATCCATGGATTGTTTCACCCTCTGATTTCTAGCACAATTCACAATTCGACTTAAAATGCATCCCTATTGCCCACTACTTTTCCATCCATGAACAAGAACCTAGAAAACCTTTGCTAACCATTAGCATAGTAATGAGCATTTGCTCATCACATAAAAAACTAACAAAACTAACCAATACTAATATCAAATTAGCTCGGAAAATCAAATCCCTTTAAATATTAGCTATCAGCTATGACTGTTTTAAAAACTACAACAAAACCCCCGCCCCAAAAAACTCTAAATGCATTGTCTAGGTTTGAAAAATTAGGCCATTTCGGAAATGCAAAAGCTGCAGTATATCAAACATGGTAGCTTGAGGCTAACAGACGGCTACAGAAAAAGGTTATATCCCTCCTACTGGGTGATATATTTTTTAACAACTAAACCTTTAAATGCTATTAAGGTATACAGTAATGCCTTATTTGGGCAGAGCTGGTTTGACAGACAACTGCATGGTAACACAGCAGTGTTAGCGGTGTTAGCATCAGCTAATTAGAGACAGCGAACTGTTCCTCTCACTGCACCACTGTTAGTGCCTTTAAATCAAATTACTTTACATATAATGTGGTCTGCTATGCAGTATTAACAATCTGACCAAGAAGCCTGCTCCAATACTCTATATGTTAGCCCTAATTAAAAGGTATGTGTACGTTCTTTGCTAATATGCTAGCACACTAACCTCTTGTTTGATTAAAAACCCAAGATGGGGGCACCATTGCTTTATCTGTCTTATATACAGATTTTGCTAAATGCACAAAACCTCTTTAGAATACAAACAAAAAACATAATGATGTAATAAAGTAGCTACTTTCAACTGCTCCCTCATTCACAAGCGGTCACCACAGTAGATAGCGCCGCATGTTTTAGCATTTTCACACCAGATGCCCTTCCTGTCTCAACACCAAGGGGAATTGTGTGCTTTTCCCGGGATCAAACCTGGAAAGCAGTGCACTATGGAGCCACGAGGAAAAATCTGTAATGAATTCAAAAGGACATTAGCTAAGAAATACAGACTGCACGGTGGTCACCCACCAGTTGTTATACATTTACATTATGCAGTTACAAGTGAAAAACATAGACATGCTATAAACATATAAATTATTTGCTCCTCCAAAAATAATCAAGAATCTGGTTCCCAGATTGAAAGGTTACAATTAAAAAAGAAAAAAGATAAACCACGGCTCTGAATAACCAGGACAACTGTGTCATGATAAGCTGAGTAGGCCTAATGACTCACAAAAGTATTATATATAACTTTTTGCAACCCTAGAATAACACACAGGAAAGTGAACCAGGCAACAGAAAAAGTCTCTCTGCAGGTTTTCTGACAGCCAACACCATTCCCCACAACTACTCTGGTATTCCACACAGAAAGCTGTTCTGTGGCTCTGGCGCTGGACGACTACTATCTGCTCGTCTGCAGGTTTAAACTGTCTGACCACATCCACCTGCATCTGGGTTTGAGCTGACAGCTCAAGCCGTCAGGTAAACACTAACTGGGCTTGGACAAGCTTTATTTCAGTCAGTGTGGAAACGTTTTTAACATGTATCTAGGTCTTGCTGCTTAAGCCTAGATTACATAAAATCTGAAATAATTTGCACAGCATTTACCCTTTTCTCATTTGCGTCATGACTGTACAACATTCATATTATTGGTTATTTGAAAGCTTACAACCTCACCACCATTTATCAAACACACGTGTAACGCTGCATACTGTACGCACAGATGAGCACATGCAAACATGAACACTTGTTTCAAAATGCATTCAATAACATATAAAAACATCTTTCTAAATGTGTCGTGTTATGATTTCCAGTGTAGGTGTAGCTGCCTTTAACCGATAAGAAAGCAGGAAGCACTTCAACTGGCTGCAAACCTATAAATGAAAAACAGAGGAAAGGCCACTGACAGCCCTCACTGACCCTTTAACTTCCCAGTATGTACAGGGTAAATAAATAGCATTGCCACACTTGATGTAGACTCAAACAGTGGAAATGCTTTGCTCTAATAAGAAATCCCTTTCAGTTTCAAATAATTAAATTAACAAATAAATAAATAAACAAAAAGCCCTGAATGGACTGTGAATTCGAAGACCTGTGGGTTTGTCAGAGAAATGTGAACTCCAGTAGGCTTAAAGCTGCCAGGTTGGGTAACATCAGCCTGACCCTAAGCCTGCTGAGAAATTATCTAAGCATACATTTTCCGGTGACATTTAACATTTTTCTTTGTGGCGTCTTAGAGGAAGCAATGACGAAAACCCCTTTGGTGTTTTGGCCATTAATGTCATCATCGGGGGCACAACGGGTGGAGGGAAAAATAGGTTATTTCAGCCTTGTAACCAGGGCACTTGATGACTCTGAGCTGAAAACATGTAAGCAGCATTCAAGAGCGCTAACGCTGTCAAACATACGGACACCTGGATTTTACCCAAACCAGCCAAATCAGCCTGTGCTCCGTCTAATAAACACGCTTTCGCCCACCTCTCTTTTATTGGGAAAAGAGTCCAGTCGTGAACTTTGATCATATAAAACGGAGTAAGCGGGTGGCAGCAGCCTATGACAACATTTTGCGCTCGTCTGTCACAGTGACGCGAAACTGAAAGCTTAAGTTAAATCTCACATACCTTGAAAACAGGTCTCCAGCAGAAATCCGAATCCACACTTAACTTTAACCAAACTAGTCATTTTTAAAAGAAAAAAAATGTAAAAACTACAGCATAGCAGCCGAGCGCAATCAGCAGCCTCTGACTAACCAAGCAAGAGCGCTGAAAGCGTTAAATTGCATAACAGCGCCTTAAGTTAATAACGTGCTGTTATTAATCGCCGGTGAGCTCTCTGCGGCTTTGACAGTCCTAATTTATCAACAACAGAGGACCAAATTTCTGATTCGTGGCTTTTTTTTCTGTAGTTGCGGTCTTTCTCTCTCTCTCTCTCTTTTCCAGGGTCTGTACTCCACATCCTCCGCTGGCAGCGGCTTGTAAACAGGACCGAGTGGCTGAGAGCAGAGAAAGTAGGTCAGCTGGTAGCTCAATACTCGGGTAACGAAGGCAGCAGCAGCATAAGCAGCAATGCTGTGCAACACAACCGAAAGAAACCTGCGCTTGTGACCGGGAAGGAAGGGGGCAGATTGCAATCTTTAACACGTGCTTAATGAATAATAACAACCCACTAAAATGTCATTAGAGCAATGCAAAGAAGAGTAGATTTGTAATGTGGCTTTTGCACCGCAGTTTTCCGACTGTTTGAAACTGTGAAGCCTACCGAGACTTGGCCATAGGAGCCTAACCTTTAATCTACTAAGATATAGTTTTACATTCACAAGAAGGAGTCTATAGGAGGGGGTGATGGCATGCTGCAAATTGACCTTAAAGGTACTGCTGATATATTAAGGCAAATCACATGGGCAGGAGGAGGTGGTGAACGGTGCCTCCTCCCTGCCAGCAACACAGAGCAGATTAGCCTGTCTGACCCTGTTTATAAGTTTATAAACCATTTATTTAAATCTGCAGGGTGAAGGGAGGCAGGCCATACAGAAAGATGACAACACCTCAATGTATAACCAAAACAAGACGCTGTAGACTTTTGTTTTGCCCCCCAAGTACTTCCCCATACACTTCCTATGTGTGTGTTTTTTTTTTAACTTCCTGGTTCCCTTCTCTCCTCAGCTGAAGTCCCAAATGTGGGTCAGCAGTCTACATGACTAATTTCAAGCTTTAATGATGGACAGCCTCCAAGTATTTTGTGTCTGTCAAGTGGCTTCACAAGCAGCTACAGATGTGGGCATGTCGAGAATGTTAAAAGAACCAAAGAGAGCATTTACATGGAGAAATTATTTGGAGCGTTAAAAAATGAGGCAGAGGTTTTACTGTAGTACGCCTATATGACTGTCACAGTCATATCAGTAGTTTATCTAATTGTACTATTTGGACAAAGCCTATCAGTACACCAGCCATTTTAACCAAGTCCTAAATTTTATTAACATGACATGTATGGATGGCTTTTGTATGGAGATGCCACTTAGTCTATGTGGCTAAAGCCACGATTTCACTGCTACTGATTATAGCCCTCATTACTTGATAAATGATTTCTAATAACTTAATGGTAGGTAGACTAATTAGTTATTTTGTTTCCCTATGACATTTCTGAATGCACCTTTAATTTTTAAAGATCTTTAAGATCTTTAAAGACCATAATCTTAAAAACAGTAATCGTGAACAATTAGGTGCCAAATGTGTAAATGTGAGACTCTTTTTACACTTATACTTTCCCAAATATCAAGCTCTACTGTACTTGTTAGCAACATAGATGGTTTACATTATTAACTGCATGTGAGGCTTGCTTACTCACAAACAACTGAGGAGACCATATTTTGGATTATTTAGACAATGTTAAGTAAAATAATAACAAAAAAAAAAAAAAACTTTTCAGTAGGAAATAGCCACATCTTTGATTGCACTGATGTGCTATCCTTTCCTTCTTATTTAAAATACTTTGGGTTACATAAATATGTTTCTTTAATGGCAGATCTTGTAATCAAGGCCAGTTCTCGTGTGAATAAAGAGCACAGAGCACAAGAGAATCAACGTTGTCACCTGTTGTGCCTCATCTCATTAGAGAGTGAGTGTCAACTGCTTTGACAAGTTAGCCTTTGACATCAGAGAGCTTTAAGTGCATGTTCTTAATTAGAAAAATTGAGCTTTTCATAATGAAGAGTGTGAGTGTTGACCTGTGAGTGCCAGCGTGTACTTTGAAGAGGTTTTGCTAAATCCATTTAAATCAATAAAACAGAGCAACTTGTAAAATGCAAGAAAATATTAAAAATTTGAGGAGAGAACAGTTTCAGTAAAATAATCTGAACAGATGACATGAAAATCTTTACTTTGTTTTCTATATTTTGTGGGTCCTTCTGGGTCCTTTTTTCCCAGCATTGCTTTTAAAGCATACAGGTTTTATTGCTAAGGTGACAACAAAAGAAAATCAATGTTTTAACCCAGACAGGGAAAAAGTATTTGGAATTTAAAAAAAAAAAAACCATGGACACATAATTTCAAAGTCAAAGCGTCTGTTTCTGGCTCGGCCGGTCGTCGTGATGTTTTATGATTTGAATTTCTCTCCAGATGTCCCTGAACTCCAGACGCACATTTGAGGCCACGGTAGATATGCAGACCACTTGTCTCAATGACCATCTTAATGTAATGAGTCACATTTTCCACACAGCTGATGCAGCCTGCAGCTGTTGTAGTAGTCCCAATTTCAGTGACTGGCTCATGAGGTGGTACCAGGATGATGCCAGTTCTGCCAGCCAAGTTATACATGAAGCCTCTCTGGAGACATAAACATCCTCCATCAGGTGATTGAACCTTCTTAACTGACTCTTGCATCGTTGGCATGACTCCGCTGTGATTTGTCAGCGCTAACCAACCTTGAAACTAAAAGCCTTGTATTACCACTCCTGATAGTGGCTGCACCACTGCAGCTACACAGTTTTACACACGTCTTGCACACCTAACATCTGTGTAGTTTGTGCAACATCCTCAGTCCTGCACTTATGAAAGTGACTGCAGAACTGCTGGGATATCTGCAGAACTCCTAAGTATCTTCTATGAATAAAAAGATATACTATTTTAAAAAAATAAAATACAAATAAAACACAGCAGAAGGAACAGCTTAGTTTGACAGGTCTGCATTACTTAAAACTAAAGTTTGTAACAGTGCATCCAACAAAGTGGAGGGCACAGTGCACCTCTGACACCCCCATACTGCACTGAGCAAATTCAGTGTTGCATTCAGTGCTGTCCCTTTCTGTGTTACTCCCATAGTGTGATCACACTGGTTGCTCTAGTTTCTGTCACGACTGAGAAACTTGAAAGTCAGGTAGATGACAAATCTGGTAGGTAGGGCTGGGAAGAGGTGAACTGTCCTTAAATTTTAGTCACTACCTGTTGTAATTAATGGATTTATTTATATTGAAGAAATGTAGCCGATCAAGTCGTAGAGCATGCAGCACAGCTAATGTGACCTAATTCAACCTTGGGGGGGAAAAGGAATTGCTGACAAGTTGAAAAAAGAAAAATAGAAGAAAACATAGCAAGAATAATGTATTGTTAATGTATCCCGAGGAAGCTATCGTTAATGCAGCCATCTCAAAGAAGAAACAGCACGATTTACATGTTTGCGATGGCTCAACTTAAACAAAGAAACTATGCAAAATGCGCTGTGTGCTAACGCAAACCAAAAACGGAAAACTAAACTATACGCGTGCAATTTCAGCCTGCTCAAGAACGAAAGAAAGCGAGCGAAAGTAAGAATGAAAGGTTTGTTACTGCAGATAATTTTGATGGTTTCTGGAGGCTTAAGTCACTTTCACAAAAGTACTAGAATAAAATGTACTTTCACTTACAGTCTGGCAACAGTAAGAAGCAAACCGATGCACTTCAGACTAAAAGCATGAATAATAGTAAATAATTATTAAGAGTCAGCTTCAAGCATCAACTGTAAATATGCCTCTAGAAACTAGATTGCAAAAATATAGGTTTGCTTATACTGTGATCAGACCTGTAAAAGACACTTCTCTCATATGAGCTGGTGAATGAAACAGACAGAAGTCCTGGAGGATAAATCAGTCACGAGGAGTTCAAACAACCTACAATTAGACCACACAGAGGTATTCAGAGGCTTCATGGGGTTATGATTGGTAAAAATCTACAAACTCCATCCAGAAATTAAGCAAAATGAAGTTAATAAACTGCATAAGGTACACTCAGATTTACCCATCTGTCAACTCTGAAATTGTGATGCCCTAAAAGGTATCAGAAAAAAAAGATCCAAAGTCAGTGAGTACTTTTCTTTCCTAAACAGAGTGCTTCACTTTAGGATTCCTCCACCACCTAACTCCCGTTAAGTACATGCTTGCTTTGTCTCTTAATGCTCCATTAATTTTTTCCTCAAGCTTCAGTAATGCATACACAGCACTGGGACTGTCTTTTTCAAAGGTCTGACACTGTAAGTTCTGAAGCTCTCGCCAAAACATTTTAGAGCACAAATACTTCCAAATGTGCCCCTCCATGGATGAGTAGTGTTGGTGCCAAACGAATAATGTTCTTTGGGCTGATAGAGCAAATCTAACAAGGATGTGGCGCTCTGACCTAATTACCACCACTGCTGTGTGTAGTGGCTTAGTTTTAAGGATGACAGTGCTGGTCAATCAGGTCTGGCGGTTGTTTGTCTTGACTGGGTAATGATTCCCAGAAATGTTTCTTAGTGACTTTGGTGAGCCCTTGACCTAATTATATATAGATTTAGTCTTCTGAAGATTCTCAGAGTAAACTGCAATAGTATGTTTTCAATATATTGCAAAACTGGGCCAAAATGGCTTTTCTCATGTAATTCTCAAATGTGCTGAATTTAGTGCTAATTAGCAAATGGTAGCACGCTAACATATTAAAGTCAGTTAAACATATGCTGACAGTAGCGTTTAGCTCTGAGCACTGCTGTGCTATACTGCAGTCCTGTTTGCATTGTTAACTCTCATATAAAGTGATGACCGCTATTTACATATTTAATGACATGTTAACACAGAAACTCCTGACACCTGCTGTGTATTAAATGAATAAATAAGTCAGCAAATGAAAGACTTTCAAATAACTGAAAGCAACTAAAGATCTGTGTTGTGTTCTTATTTCTATAGCATACTCCATGCACACTACACACACATTACAGTACCAAATCATTGAGCAGATAGTACAGGATGCCAGACTGATTGTATAGAAACATTCTGAAGTCCATTGTTACCTTGCCAGCAACCAACAAGATCTAAGATTCATAAAGATCTCCCACATTTTACTGCATTATTCACCATCCGACTACATAGAGATTAGTGGCGCTCTTTTTATGTAGGTCATGCTATTGGATAATGAGATGACATTTAGTGCTCATAAGCAGGCGTCACTCCATAATGAAGTCACATCATTGCGTTCTTTACATGCTGCACCTTTTTCCAGACTGCTTCCAGCTTCATCAGTGAAAAGTGACTATTTGTATAATTACTCAGACATTAAGCCATATTGCCTCTCGCTACATCTGTGCTGCTGGTATTGATGATGTCATTGCGGCCCTCTGCTGAAGCACTGACTTTCATTAATTAGACGGTGGCACTGCTGTTCACTCTGTGTTCCCATGGTAACAATGTGTAGTGTCTACTTTCTCCCAGCTATGCCCATCAAGCTGCCGGTTTCCATTTTTCTTCTGGTCGACAAGATTTCTCATACATAACTCAGGAAGTCATTTGTTACACTGTTGACTATTAATAAAGTGCCAAAGCAACCTTGCTGGCTGCATGCTTTGATTTCTCCTTACAGCAGTTTTAACTCACTCTCAACCCACAACAACAGATGAGATACAAGCTTCAGGACTGCTACGCAATAAATGTACATGTTAACCTAAAGTTTAATACTGGCATCAAGGTTTTCCAGCATGTCACTGTTAATTTTACAGTATATGTGCCAAAATCTACACAGTTTAATACTGTAAGTACACATGCTGAAACTGCTCTTTAGTGCAAATATCTAATCAGCCAATCACATGACTAAAACTGGGCATGAAAACATAGTCTGATGATGATCCGCTAAAGTCAAACCGATCGTCAGAATGAAAAAGAAATTTGATTTAAGTGGGCCAGAGAGGTTGCTCTGAGTATTTCAGAAATTGCTGATCTACAGGGATTTTTCCACAAAACCATCTTTAGGGTTTATAGAGAATGATCTGAAAAAGGGAAGTCTCCAGAGAGCAGCGGTTCTCTGGGGGTAAATGCCCTGTTGATGCCAGAGGTTACAGGAGAAGGGCCCAAGCTACTCAAGCCGATAGGAAGGCAGCATAACTCAAAACAACCACTCATCACAACCAAGGAGTGCAGAAGGGCATCTCTGAACAGATCCAACATTGAATATATGGGCTATAGCAGCAGAAGATCACACAGCGTCCCATCACTGCCAGCTAAGAACAAGAAACTGAGACTAAAATTCACACAGACTCACCACACTGAGCAAAACATGCCTAGTCTGACGAGTCTCAATTTCTGCTGCAATATCTTGACTTTAGGGTCCGAATTTGGCTTAAACAAAATGAAACGCTGGGACCCCATAGTACCATTTGAGGATTGTTCAAACACCACAGCCGACCCGAGTATTGTTCATCCATTTATGACCACAGTGCACCCATCTTTTTCATGGCTTTTTCAAGCAGGGTAATGCACCATGTGGCAAAGCTCAAATCAACTGAAACTGGTTTATTGATCGTCGCAATGAGTTCACTGAACTCAAATGACCTTTGGGAGGTGATGTAACGAGAGATTCGCATCATGAATGTGTAGCCTACAATCTGCAGTGAGATGCTATCATGTCAATATGGAGCAAAATCTCTGAGGAAGGTTTCCCGCAGTTTATTGAAGAATTAAAGTGTTCTGAAGGTAAAAGGGGTCCAATCCAGTACTAGAAAAGTGTACCTAATAAAGTGTATATTATAAGCCACTGCATTGCCAATATACTAACATTTATTGCTTCCATAATTAATATTTTTCTACTGTAAAATAAAGTAAAATATACCTCTAAATACACTAGTCTTTCTGATCAGCCCTGTGTCAATATTTTCATGTATCATCTTTCTTAAACTATGATAAACTATGGTCACTTGCTTGGGTTGCTACAGGAGTTTTCACCTAATTTTAAATTTCTTTATATGGACTGTGTGCTCGGTGTGGCACACAGTGACTTGATGCAACACGAGTAAGTTTATTTTCTGACTCAAATGAAAATAACACTGCAGTAAGACGGGACAGTAGCTTTCTGTTGCTATTTTTTTAAAGACATCATCATTGACACTTTTCTGCTGTGTCGACCTACACCACCATGTTATCAGTGTGCAACAGTTGCTTTCGTTTTAGCAGAAATTTGTTAGTGTGGGCTCAGCTACAGGCTACAAACGATTTACCTCAACGCCACTTGTTAAAGAAGAACAAATGAAAAGAATTTCAAGACATATGTGGCTTAATGCTTCAAAATAGTGAGCTCTGTCTCACAGAAGGAAGAAAAATCACATCCGGAGGTGATGCTAAATGACTTTTCACACCGTGTAATTGAGTATAGATGGAGCACCACGGCTAAAGCCTTAGAGCTCATTCAAATGCATGAAATGAAAAAAGGAAAACAGTAAAGAAACAATTCATTATGTCCCTTCTCGGGAGAGTTTTCCCACAAGCTTTGCCCATCACTACCAGACAGAAGCTCCACACTAATCCTGCCCCAGGCAACAGCTGAACCCCACTCTACTCAGAGCAGTTTAACACATCCACACCTGTGGGGGGGAAAAAACTGTTCTTTTACCCTGTTTTCCTAACTGCACCTGTTAATGCACCTGTTGAATAATCAGCTAATCAGCTAAGAACATGAATCCTAGTTCACATCAACCTCGCAGCTACTAATTCACAACTCACAGCCATCAACCTAGTCAACCATTAGTCAACCTGCATATTTTATGTAGATTTTCTTCTTCATATATTCCACGTTTACTTTTTGGTAACACTTTAGTCAAAAGTGCCTTGTAATTACACATTCACCACACAGCACGGAGTGTGTGGTGAATGTGGATGGTCGCATCCTTTCAATGAGAAAGCAGTCCCATAAAACAAACATCCTTTCACCAGGTAGATCCACTCTCAAATTTTCTTATAATTATATTCTTTCAACAATTCCAAATGAATCACAGTTACTCCAAGCCTGTTATTGCCTGCTGCTGCTGCTCAGGGAAAAAAAAGATGCAATTACCTAAGGCAGTGTGAGCAAATATGTGGGTCACCATTCTGGGGCATGGGTGGAAAGGGCAGCGGAGCTCTTTCTTTTCACCACTCAAGCTCGGATGCCAAGTTAGATCTTTGATTAGATTCTGTCTCATTCTTAAACATCGCCTCCAAATGAAGCATTTTTGAGCTGTTCACCCGAACGTCATTGTTATGAATTCACCAGTGAGTGTTTATGAAACTGCAACCGGCCCCTCTGTTATGCACAGACTCTGAAGTGAACTTAAATAGCCTTTCGCAAAGAGTCCATGGAAAAAATGACCTTATGTCTCCATTCCTATCTATTGCCGTTTCATTTTCCTGGTTATGAAACGATGGCTTCCATATCTTCAATGCTCTCCTCCTGAGAGCACGCAAACCTCTCTTAAGTTTCACAGAACAGTAGAAAGCAGCTTATAAATTATTCTCTTTGAGGAAAGACTAAAACACATTGAATATTGGCTTCCTCTATGGCCAAATATCCACTCTGCCTAATTCTTATTCTACCGAAACAAAAATCAGTGGACTGCAGATATTTGATTCGATTTGATTATTTTTGAGCTACATGAAAATATTTCATGTTATTTTAGGCAGTTTAACATTTCAGCTGAACTACAGAATACAAAACCTGCTCATCGTGCATCTTTTATTCATCCGATGAGTGGTTTAAAAGTAGTACAAATGTTAACACGTAATCAGGATGGATGCTCAGTCAACTGAGAAAGTGAATTAATAACATCTACATTATTAATGACAGAAGGCTGGATCATCAGAAGTCTCTGGAAAACAACTCGCATAATGACTAGTTTTCATATTTTTATGTTTTTACCTGTAATGCTTCTTTCCTACACTACATTTGTCTTCTTGGACTTCTTGGAGTAGCTGTGCATGCCACGCAGTTCAGGTGCAGCTACTTTAGCTTTGTTTACCCTCTCTTTTTGTTAACTTTCTCCAGACTGGCTGCACCTCGCAAACAAAAGAACCTTTGGCTTAAAGGGATTTCTTGTACCTACATTGATTTTAATAACTGAAATTCCACCATGTTTATTGTGAGCATAAACCTTTGTTACAGTGTATATGTGCAAATATATAAAGGAACACAACTGGTTTTCTCTCTTTCAGACAGCTAAGCTTAAAGAGGCCATTGCATCTGAGTGGAACTATGTGTGCACATTACTCATGCTTTAATGTGATAATAATTCATGAATCATGAAGTGTCCTTCAAGAAACCTAAAATCACTGCCAGCTCTGTAAAAAAAACTGAAAAAAAGTCTTTTTGGCTTCCTCTTGATGGTGGAATAGAACTTCCTGTAGATTTCCATCAATTTTATCATATGTTTCTGTGTTTCTCTTAAGATGCGCGTGCACTCACCAGCTACTCTTTTAGGTACACCTGTTCAACTACTCGTTAATGGAAAAAATGTAATCGGCCAATCACATTTTTACACGTAGACATGGTCAAGACGACCTGCTGAAGTTCAAATCGAGCATCGGAAAAGGAAAGAAAGGAGATTTCCAGTGAGGGGAAATTTTCTGGGTGTAACGAAGAGGTGTTTCATTACTCTGGGCAAAAATGCCTTGTGCCCTTTCTTATGCTACTTTCCACTGTTCTGGGAGAAGACTGGAAAAATGTTGCCTGGTCTGATGAGTCTTGCATTGCAACATTTAGACGGTCGGGTCAGTTTGGAGTGAAAACAACATGAAAGCTTGGATGAGGTCATGAATATTGTCCAACCACTTATGGCCACAGTGTACCCTGATGATGGCTTTCTACGGGATAATCTCTCAAAACTCAAATCATCTCAAACTGACTTCTTAAACGTGACATTGAGTTCACCTTGTTTTATCTGTGCCATGAAGAATTAAGGTGGTGCTGCATGGGAAAGGGAGTTCAACCCAGTACTAGCACGATGTACCTAATAAAGTGGACAGTGAGTGAAAATCAGTAAAAAAGTTTAAACACTTAAATTAAAAAAAAAAAAAAACAACAACTCAGAAACTGGAAAGTTTTAGTAGGAAAGTGTAATGAACTCATTGGCTGGACCCAGACTAAGAATGAAATTCAAGTATCACAGCACTATGTGAACTCTCCAGTTCGCCATCAGTGGACATGTTCAGGTTTTGCCCCATGACATCACAGATTACATATGGCTTACTTAACATTAAAGGAAGAAAGAAATGTGTGTGGGAGGGCCCTTTTCATTTCACCATCAGACCTGACACGATCTTGTTGTGACTCCACTAAAGCAAACAACGTTGTAATGCACATGCAGCCAACACCCTCAACTGGAGATCTGAATCACTAGATCTAGGTCACACACACACTGCGAGGCCCATTTTTCTTCTTCATCTGACACACAATGTGTGGCCACACCCGATTCTTAAACGTAACCTTTTGTAGTGAAGCAAGAATAAATGTTACATCCTGTGAATCAGCTATATTTTAGAGACACACGGGTGGGGGGGGGGGCATTTATTTGTAGACAAAGCACACTGTGTATCACTCAGATGATGATAACAGCTTCTAAAAGAACCTCATTTATGTAGATCCTCACTCCTTTGAATGATGAAGTACCATAAAAACCTTTCTGAAAGGTCAGTATTAGTGCAGTGTCACTGAGGAGCTCTCACACACGGTAGTTTCAGGTAATGTCATTTCATGCCACAAATAAAAAGAGAGGAAGCAAATTCACATAATGTGACTGGTCTCAGTGGCAGAAAAAGGAAAGCTTTCTCTTTTTATAAAAGGAATAAATAGATTTGAAAAAGCCAAATGTCTTAATGATGGCGTAATGGCTCTGAGCCTGCAGCTACTGAGGACAATCACTGTGTGCTTTAGAGCAAGAGTTCAGTGACACCAGCAAGGCCGATGACGTCAGTAGAGGCAGTTATATAACTGCTGCTGAACATTTTGTCTGTCATAGTTACAAGGCCAAAGAGGGTGACATGAATACCAGTCATACTCTCAGGAGTCATGTGCAACATAGTTCCACTGGCCAAAGGAAGCAAAAGGCAAGCAGGCCTCGGTATAGAGGGGTATGGAACAAAAAGGAACGGCTCTGATTAATGATAACAGTCTGCATGTCTGTCTTATGTCTGCCCTTACGGCTATAAATGCTTCCACATTATCTTCTTACTGGAGATTGATCAAGTATTCACAAGTCTAAAAATTCCCAAACAGCACATCAGACCAACAGGTCAAAAGAGTCTAAAGATGATAAAACAGAGAAAATAAGGCTGGGATGTGTCTGCAAAGTAACTATAACAGTTTGAACAAACACTACAAATAGAAATTATTTAGACATACACAGTAGGCCGCACAAGATTATCAACAAACAAACAACCTGAAAAAAATCATCATTTAGAGAAGTTCATAATTTAAAACTGTCAGTTTCACTTGGTATTAATTTAATTTAATGGCGACTGTTGCTTCTAGCACCATCGAAGATAAACCCTGTAGCAATAAATGGTGTAAATAAACAGTGGCTTTTGGCCTTAACCCAAATACTGCTACACACTGTACTGACACCTCTGCCATCATTGATTATCCTTATAGGCCACTTTCTTAACTGGGTCTTTTATTGATTCCTAAACAAATTTTATCAGAGGAAATAAGCAGAATTCCACAGAGTCAGTGTAACAATTTCATTATCACTGTCACAAAAATATGCCAGCACTGATATAAGGAAATGATAAGGTGTGTGCCATGTGATTCCATGGACCATTTAGTACAAGCTTTCAACTGGAACCATTTCTTACTTCCCATCAGGAGTCATTGTTCTCTGAAATATGTTACCTAAGAATCAGAAATACCGGACAACAGCGATCTAAAGCCAACAAATAAAGGCTGTGGATTGGCCTTTAAAGGGTAAGCGTCACTTCAATGTTTTTATAATCATTTTAACTAAGTAATTTGACTGATTTGTATTGGACAATACACATTTCACATGCATTCAAAGTTGCTAAATATAGTTGTTCGCCTATATTTGACTGTAAAGCTAAATTGTGGCTGCTTTAAAGCCAGCTGTCTGCAACACAAAGGCTCTGAAATATTCTCTGCCCAGCTGTGACAGATGTTACACAGAATTTGCAAAGACACTTACTTCTTACACCAACCATAACCTGAGAATCAGTGCCATAGCAAAATCATGTAACATGGAACTTGAGGCAAAGAGTGGAAATAAAGTTCCACTATAAAAAAAAATGCCTACACAAAGGAGCCGACAAGTTAATGTGTTTATGTATTTTCTGGCAGCAGTCCATTTTAATAGCGAATACATCAAAAAATAAACCACACTATATATATATTTTTTTTTTTAAAAGCACAATCTCTTGCCATTTATTACTTTAAATTAATTTTATACCTGAGATAGCAATATCTCACTCAAGGCCATAGTGCTTTAGAGAATATCGGCATGGCTGTGGCCTTGTCCCTGCAAACCATTCAGAGCTGTACTAATATTCAATAAACAGCACTCACTCTTGTGTGATATTGCTTGATTAAGCTGTCTCAGACCAAGGATGATGCCCTCTAGTTTGATAGTGAATCACTGAAGCAATTTCCCTGGTTCCAGCTTCTCAAATGTAAGCCTTCGCTACTTTTTTTCCAGTTTGCACCCAACTTGGTTTGATATAAATCATAATTGTGGTTTTTCTATATTTTTATTCACCAATTATAATTGGGCCTTAAAAAACAGCCCTATTTGAATTTTAGGATTATAGATTCTGTACAGATTTTACCATTAAAACATAAACATGTTCGCTTCAACAACAATATTCAGCTACTGTAGCAAGAACCACTAATCTGAAAAATTCAAATTCCATTATAACTTTAAGATATAAAGTTCAATTAAATTTCAAGAAGTTTGGAGGGTTTTTTTTCCCAAGTTCAGCTGCAAAAGCCAACTAACACCTTGATGAAACTAATCCTCATGGGGACAATCCCAGGAAGAGAAAGACAACGAGTTATGTCTGCCACAGGGGATAAGTTCATTAGAGTTACCAGCATCTCACATTAGAGACACATTACTTCCCAGAGTTCAAGTAGCGGACACACATTAACACCAAATATTCGGATGAGACTGCGTAAACTGGGCCTTAAGGGTTGATTCCTATGGGTTACCAATTCCAACAAGTAATAAAAAGACACAATAGGACAAAGAAATACCCTGAATGAACCAATGAAAAACTGCATTTTGTTCTCATAAGTGTAAATTTGAGATTTTTGGTTCAAATTGCTGCATCTTTGCAAGACTTTGCTGTTGACAGCTGTTGGAGATTCGTTCAAAATTAATGGCAACACTGCTTACCCAGCAGAGCTAACATAACATCATGGTCTGAGCTCAGTTTGTTTGTCATTGTGACAAAGATCCAAAACACATCTCCAGGAAATGAAAGGCTATAACTACTAAGATATAGAGCAATAGAGCGCAACATCAGAAAGCTCAGCTAACAGAAAGCTGATATGATCTGGGGTAACATCGGGGTCAGCAAGTGCACAGCAATAAAACTATTCCCTTTGACAACTTCATTAGACTTGGACACCAAATTAAGAATTCAAAGGTGTTGCTTTAGCAAGAAATTCTGGCTCTTTAGAAGAAGGTGGTTCAAGACTTTTGCACTGTACATGTATCTAAATAAAAAATGTTTTCCATAAATACAACCGACTATAATAACATTGTTGCAGAAATGCTGTTGTTTGTGATGTGGTTTGACTGAGTTAATTACTTCTTGTAATTGGCTCCATTGTCCTTCGGTCACTTGGTTGTAAGATTATGGTCATTAAACTTTAACTACAGTTGAAGGAAGTTCCTAGAGAAGCCACAGTGATTTCAGTTTTAGTTAACTTCCTTAACATTCAGCTCTGTCCTAAACAAGGTTATTATAGTTAACTTAGACATAAAACTGGATGTGAAAAAATATATATAAATATCAAATTTTTAATATAATATAGTTAAAAAATAAACGAATTAATTAAAATACTATAATAATAATAACAATTTGACTGACACTTTAAATTAAACTAATTTCATTTTTTCACCCTGGTGTTTACGACAGAATTGCCTAATTTCCTTCGGGATTAATAAAGTTTTCTGATTCTGATTGGCTGTTGGGGAAGTTCATTAAAAATCACTGTGGCTTTTGTAGGAGACAAGTGAGCCATGGACAATGGGGCCAACTACGAGAAGTCTCAGTCATACCACAACACAAACAACAGCATTTCTGGAACAATGTTGCGATAGTCAGTTGCATTTATAGATTTATAGACTGTAAAAGTCTTTAACAACCCTTCAATTCTCAATATTTTGCTTCCAAGGAGCCAGCCTTTCTTATAATTTTTGGATTTGAGTAGCAGTTCTCCAGGCTAGGAAGGTTTTTTAAAGAGGAGTCATTTCTCTTGTTAATTCATTACGTCACTTCACACTGAGACAATCAAGCATAAAAATGGACCTAACTCAAAGGATGACCCAGTTGTGTTCTCACATAACAGACAACTGAGCAAATAATCAATTTTAACAAGTATCTTTAGGAACTTTAATAGAAGCCTGTTGAAAAACACATTTTCTTCCCATTTCTTTAGGTGAATCTATGAAAAAGAAAAACATAGCACATTTTCAACATGAATAAAATTGTTTTTTTACACTAACAAAATTATTTCCAAGGAGCTGTTAGCTGTACAAAATTGGCATATCTCGCTTTGTGTCCTTAAAAGCTTTTGAGAGAAATGAAAAAGTCGAGGGCAAACGAAAAGACTATCCAGGGCAGATGAACAGTATCTAAAATTCTTAAGAAACATGAAAGAATTCAGCAGCAGCAAAGACAGAGATGCATCTGCTGTTCACTGAAGTCTCAGAAATGGCCTCGGTGAATAGGGAGAAAAGGCTGAGGTGTGCCAGATTACACAAGAACTGGACTGAAAATCAGTGGCAACAGGTTTGATGGAGAGATGAATCCTAATCTCAAATTTCTGTTTCAAATTGTTACTGATATGTAAAGAGGAGATCAGGAGAGAGGTGCAACAGTGAGGGTCTGCAGCCATCTTCAAAACACAATCTTATTAAAACTGATGGAATTATGACTGTGTGTCAGATGTGTTGTATTTTTGTTGTTTTCCCTTTGTGTGTTTTTTAATCGCAACTTTTTCCACTGATAAATAAGTCTTTAACCATTAAAACCTGTGAGGTCAAAACAGATTTGCCAGAACGGTGTTTTTCTTTCCACAGTCATTCATTTGTGCTGTTTTCTACAACACACACTTCCTGTTTGTGTTTAATAGTGTCACAAAAAAGCTGTTATCTTGACTCACACGCGACAAAGTAACTTGCTTCATGCACGTCTCCTCTGGGACAGAGAGCACGCAAAACACTTGAAACAACAAGAGCTGTTGTTGGTAAGAAGCAGTGAAAGTCTAGCTCTGATGGAAATTACAAATACTCTGAATGCCTCTTTCATGTAGTCAGGGAGCCTGTTTCCCATCTCTCTCAGCTTTTTTTCTGTTTTATTACCTCGAACTTACCTATTTAAATGTTTTGGCTGCTGCTCTGTCCAAGTACGCATGCCACTGTGGTGCTCATGTCTGCTTTTCTTGATGTCTGTGGAAATAACTGGCTAACCTAAAGTCTTACATTGTATTTGTATGCCTTCTAGTTTTCTGTGGAAGATTTTATATCAATATGGTTTGTTAAAGAAAAAAGCAAAACACCGTGATAAGACTTGAAGTCAATGTCAGTACTGAGACAATAAGGCCAAAATGAGCTAATCACACACAAAAAGATGACACCTCTGGTGTTCGGAGGTAAGCGGGACTTGGTTATTTGCAACCTCTGATCTATTAATCAACCTGTTGTGAGATTACACCCCATTTCATGTGTTTGTGATGAATCATCATGGGTTGAACATTCAACATTCATTCTATGTGGAGCGCGGCTCTGTTTTCTTAAAGAGACAGAAAGCAGGAGGAGTCCCTTTGCTGTTACACAGACCTACACCATTTGTGCATGCCCAGTCACACTAAGCAGCTCTAGCAATATTCAGACTAGCTTTCAGTTTAAGCTTGCAGGACATGGCCCAGTAACCTACTTTCCCCACAACATGCTCTGTAACATCAGAGAAGAGGCTATGTGTCATCAGTTAACTAACCTTCACCACAGCATAGTTTCAGCAAAGAGATGAAAGAAGAAGAAAAAATCACAGACACTAATCAGAGTTATATGTCAGGACAGAAATGTCTACAAGGCCCCATGCTCAGTTTATACTTAAAGGTGAAATAAATCCAGATAGAACTTATAATATAACTTATATTCCCTGCATTTAAAGGTCTCCGGGGGAGGAGACTAAAACTAAAAAAGACCACATGAAGAAGATTAGAGAAGAAAACTTTCAATTTGAGAGCAGAAAAGTCTCAAATTGCCATTCCACTGAGTACAGGGCAAGCGAATTACATTACAATAAATGTTGGTTATAAAAAAACAAACAGATGTGTAACATTTGTGGCAGCATTTCTCAAAACTCTGAAATCCTTGTTTGACTCGAACACATCTTAGCAGAACCTTAGCAGATTGGGTTTCCCTTTTTTCTTCTGTGCACAGACTCGTGTATCAGGTGATCAGCACTGTTAATGGTTAAACCCCACTACCTGACACCCTCAAACCAGTCTTCTGGGTTACCACACACAAAAAAACCCGAAACACCCACACAGTCTGACAGCTGTGTCAGTGGTGCACAGTGCACCACTGACACAGCTGGTCCAGGCTCACTCTACATTTGTTTATCACCCAGAAGCCAAATTTTTTAGTCTGACAAGTGGTGGATGGCCTTCTCCATGATACCTGTCAGTTACTGGAAGCTGTAAAAGGATTGTGATTGACTCCTATATACTGTTTTTATAGTGGTAGACCTAATGCCAAAAGTGGAATCCACAACGTTTTCAAGCTCACCGTGTAACAATGTTCTGATTGTCCCATTTAGCAGCAGGATTAGAATTGGCTGAAGGGAGAAGAAGACAGCATGAGTCATGAGGCAGGCCCAAATGTTTAGCAGCACGATATAAAGAGGAGCATATGGTGCAATGAACAGCCCAGTTCAGTCAGTCATGGAACAGCCTCATCCTGCCCCGCTCAGCTGTCAGCACACATCCTCATCACTGCTCATGGCTCCTGGGCCAACCTCAGCACTGACACAGCAAGCCGGAAAAATGGCACAAGCCTCAACACGAGTGTAAGTAGATGGACACACAGGATAATCTTTTAGACTCTGACAGCAGCACACTTTGGAGCAAAGATAAAAAATAACCAAAATGCCCCGGATCCCTGGCTCTGGGTTTTGTTTCGCATCAGGTCCCCGAACTACAGCTGTGACTGACATAGCATCGGTCATTCAGATCAGACATTCAGATGTATATCAGAGCTGATTTTACTAGGACAAGTGTCTTGGCTTATCAGACTCTAGTTTGTTTGTCTGTTCGTGCCAATTAAGCCACATTCATATTTCATTCCTCATATTTCAAATCACACACACACACACACACACACACACACACACAAGAATCTTCCTTTTTCAGATGGAGTCATGTGTCTCCATATGGAAAAAACTGACATTTCAGAGCTAGGTCAGCACATAGGTTCCATTATACAGTAGTTACTGCACTCACTAAGATTCTTACACAGCTTCCCACAATATAATGATTATAACACACACTAAAGGACTAAGACTTTCTTCTCTTAGTAAACAGAAATAAAAAAAAAAAAAACAGTCTAAACAGTTATGTATGTGTTTGATTGGGACATAAAGAAGCAGATATACCATCTATTGATATTATAAACACTGTGAAGCAGACTGAGCCAGGAGAAGAGGGTAGCTACTAAAAACAACTTTTTAAAATATTATTATTATTTGAAAGTTTCCAATTTGAAGCCACATTTATAACAACCGTAACAAGTAACGAGCACAAAGCCGGACACTCACCTTATTCTGCCGAATAATGATCCAAACAGGAGCGGCTGTATGTGTTTGTGAGTCTGGGTTTTAACAAATAAAACTCAGACGTGTTACATTCCAGAAAGTTGCTCACATGTGAAACTGCACTGCAGTCTGCTAACGATTCCTGCCGCTGTCTGTATTTAGGCTGCAGCACGCTGCTGAGGTGACCCAGCCTACAAACCTCACACGTTCATTAGAGCGCGCTGGTCAGTCCGGCTCCTGTCCGCGGACTCATGCAGGCTGAATGAAGAGCCTCCGGCAGCAGCCAGTGTGCGGCCGCGCTCACAGCCCCGCCCACTGGTCCACATACTATATTAAGTTACGTGAGCAGGCTGGTTGCAGTCTGCCGAAGAGCGGAGGCGGTCTTTTAAGCCCCGCCTGTTCTCACGACGTCATTGGAGGAAAGCGCCATCCAATACCGCCCTCTCCATAGGGTTACCGCAAGGGGGCGTGGCTGGACCTCCATCCAGCCATTCAGTTGTCTGCGTTTGGGGGTTTCTCGGCCAAACAACACTACAGGTAGACTATCGCGTGGGTGCAACACAACTGAAGATTTTAAGGCGTTTTGAAGATCACATTTTGGCTGTTTCACACACCACTGTTCGGCTTATTTGTGTGACTCGTGGTCTCTGGGTCAGCCACAGAGACCACGTAAAGTTTGTTGGTCTGAGAGGCGCACCACTGAGTCGTACCTGTCCCCTACTTTCTCCTCAGTCCAACCAATCAGTGGACGCTGCAGCGCCACCTTTAGTTCAGTGCGTAATATCTGCATGGGTAAACTGCTAAGGGTGCAACAGCTCAAATGAGTCACTCCAGTATATGCAGTTGGTTGAGGCTGAAAGAGTTGTACCTCACTGAGTTTCTCTGGTTTGCTATTTTACATTACAGCTATAGCATTACAGGTCACTACTCATGCATACCATGCATACTTCACATACAATGAAAATGGTTGAGATGTTAGTGGATAAGCAGATATGC